GGGAGGGGCAGAGAGAGAGGGAGACGCAGAATCGGAAGCAGGCTCCAGGCTCTGAGCCATCAGCCCAGAGCCCGATGCAGGGCTCGAACTCATGGACCGCGAGATCGTGACCTGAGCTGAAGTCGGACGCCTAACCGACTGAGCCACCCAGGCGCCCCCAAAATTTATATTTAAATATCAATTGTTTTTCTACAAACTAGTAAACAATGAATGAATACTAATGTGTTTTAAACAACATTTTCAATAGCACCAAAACCAAACTATTTAGTTGTAATAATGTGCAGGGTTTGTATGCAGAAAACTATAAAACTGTTAAAAAAAAATTTAAAGCCTAAAATTGGAAAGATAAACCATGTTCATGGAATGAAGTCTCAATATATTCAGATATCAATTTTTCCAAAAATGATCTACAGATTTAATACTATCCTAATCAAAATCTCAACAGGATTTTCCATTGGTACTGGCAAACCTGATTCTAAAACACATATGCAAGAGCAGAAAAAGTAAAGAGCTAAAACCATTTTTTAAAAAAATGGAAGACTACTTGACTTCAAGAGTTTCTATAAAGCTATAAATCAAGACAATGTGTTACAGGAAAAAAAAAAGAAACAGATCAATATAGAATCTAAAAAATAGACACCCTTCTATCAGAAATGGACAGAACCAGCAGTAAGAAATCAGTAAGGACATAGCTGAATTCAAAACACCATCATTCAAATGAATATAAACGGTATCTACAGGCTATCTAATTAGAATATACATTCTTCTCAAAGTCACATGAGACATTCAGCAAGACAGACCAAAATGTGGGTTCTGAACATATCTTAACAAATTTAAAAGAGAAATTAAATAATGTATCTCTTAGACCACAATGGAATTAAACTAGAAATCAGGGGCGCCTGGGTGGCGCAGTCGGTTAAGCGTCCGACTTCAGCCAGGTCACGATCTCGCGGTCCATGAGTTCGAGCCCCGCGTCAGGCTCTGGGCTGATGGCTCAGAGCCTGGAGCCTGTTTCCGATTCTGTGTCTCCCTCTCTCTGCCCCTCCCCCGTTCATGCTCTGTCTCTCTCTGTCCCAAAAATAAATAAACGTTGAAAAAAAAAATAAACTAGAAATCAGTAACAGAGAGATAGCTAGAAAATTCCATAACGCTTAGAGATTAAACAACACACTTTTTTTTTTTAAATGTTTATTTATTTTTGAGAGAGCAAGCAAGCAGGGGAGGGGCAGAGAGAAAGGGGCACAGAGGATCTGAAGCGGGCTCAGCGCACACAGCAGCAAGCCCGACACGGGGCTGGAACTCATGAATCGCGAGATCATGACCTGAGCTGAAGTCAGAAGCCTGACCGAGCCACCCAGGCACCCCTAAACAATACATTTCTAAATAACACATAAGTAAGAAATCTCAAAAAAAAATTCTCAAATATTTTGAAATAAATGAAAATTAAAATATAACTTATCAAAACTTGTGAGATCCAGCACTGCAATAGGGGCATTTATAATAACATTAAATGCATATATTAGCAAAGAGAAAAGATCTACAATCAATAATCCAAGCTTCCATCTTAGGAAACTAGAAAAAGAAGTGCAAATTAAAACCAAAGAAAGCAGAAGAAAAGAAATAATAAAATAAAATTCACCCTAAAATTCATACGGGATCTTCGTTGACCCTAAAAAGCTAAAACAATCTTGAAACAGAAGAAGACAGATGGAGGACTCACGCTTCCTCATTTCAAACGAAGCTACAGTCATCAAAATAGTATGGTAGAAAAAACAGACCAACCAACAGAAAAGACTCTAGAAATAAACCCCTGAAGATATGATCAAATGATTTTTGACCTTTTGAAAGGTGTCAAGACCTTTCAATGAGGGAAGGACAATCTTTTCAACAAGTGGTACTAGGAAAAATGGATTTCCGCATGTAAATGAATGAAGTCAGACACTTACTTTTCACCATACACAAAAGTCACCTCAAAATGGATCAAAGACATGTAAGAACAAAAATTATAAAACTCTCAGAAGAAAACAAAGGGCAATGGGGCGCCTGGGTGGCGCAGTCGGTTAAGCCTCTGACTTCAGCCAGGTCACAATCTCGTGGTCCGTGAGTTCGAGCCCCGCGTCAGGCTCTGGGCTGATGGCTCGGAGCCTGAAGCCTGTTTCCAATTCTGTGTCTCCCTCTCTCTCTGCCCCTCCCCCGTTCATGCACTGTCTCTCTCTGTCCCAAAAATAAATAAAAACGTTGAAAAAAAAAATTAAAAAAAAAAAAAGAAAACAAAGGGCAAGATCTTCATTACATTTGGCAATGACTCGTTGGATATGACATCAAAGGCACGGGCAACATAAAGTAAATTAGACAATTTGGACTTCATCAACATGAAAAACTTCTGTGCATCAAAGCACACTATGAACAAGTCACATATCTTATAAGGGATTAATATCCAGACTATCCAGGGGCGCCTGGGTGGTTCGGTTGGTTAACCTCACCTCAGGTCATGATCTCCCGGTTCGTGAACTTGAGCCCCCATGTTAGGCACTGTGCTGGCGATGCAGAGCCTGCTTAGGATTCTCTCTCACCCTCTCTCTGCCCCTCCCCACACCGTGCCCACAGGCATTCTCTCTCTGTCTCTGCCTCTCTCTCTCCCTCTCTCTCTCAAAATAACCAAACAGTTTTAGAATATATATCCAGACTATCCAGAGAACACCTACAATTCAACAGCAGCAAAAAAATAATAATAATAATAATTTAAAAATTGGCATAGGTCTTGAATAAACATTTCTCCAAAGAAGATCTACAAATGGCCAATAAGCACATGAAAAGACACTCAACATCACTATGATTAGGGCAATGCAAAGCAAAACCACAATAAGATACCCCTTCACACCATTAAAATCATTACCAGGAAGGAAGGAAATAACAGGTGTTGGTGAGGATATGGAGAAACTGAAACAGTCAGGTACTGCTGGTGGAAATGTAAAATGGTGCGGCCACTATGGAAAACAGAATGATGTTTCCTCAAAAAATTAAACATGTAAGTACCATATCCAGAAAGTCCAGTTCTGAGTATATACCCAGAAGAACTAAAAACAGGACATAAAAAGGTAGTTTGTCACTCACGTTCATAGCAGCATTATTCATAATAGCCCAAAAGGTAGAAGTAACCCAAATGTATGTCTATAGATGATGAATGGATAAACAAAATGTGATACATTCATAGAATACATTATAATTCAGCCTTGTAACATGCAGTGCATGTTTGTGACTGGCTTATTTCACTTAGCATAAAGTCTTTAAGGTTCATATATGTTGTAGCATGTATCAGAATTTTTTTAAATTAAATTAATGGATTAATTAATTATTTTTTTAATTTACATCCAAGTTAGTTAGCATATAGTGCAACAGTGATTTTCAGGAATAGATTCCAGCCAAGAGTTTAGGATCCATCAAATTAAAGTCAACACTCCAACACCTTTTCTCATGTTCCTGGATACAGAAGGAAGACAAAGTAGTCTCAGACAGAACATAGATGGTAAAATAAAGCAAAAAGCTTGATACCAATTTATTGCTCTGGTGGGAGGGAGATAAAACAGGCTATGAAAACAAATGAGATGCAAAGTAGTGCATGATTCCACTCATATGAGGTAGTTACGAGTAGTCAAATCGATAGAGACACAAAGCAGAAAGGTGACTGCCAGGGGCTAGGTAAAGGGGAAACGGGAAGCTATGTTTCATGGGTAGAAAGTGTCAGTTTTGACGATATGAAAAAAGTTCTATGGACTAACGGCAGTGAAGACTGCAACATCATGAATGTACTTAATGCCACTAAACAGTATTTAAAAACAGTTAAAATGCTTCATTTCATGTTACGTATATTTTAAAACAATTTAACATGAATAAATAGCTTTAAAAATCCTTGCCTACTTAAATTGTTTCCATTGGCTTCTATTTTCCAGAGAAAGACTCTGACCAGTCAAGACCTTTGAATAAATATTACTCTTCAGTACTAAAATACAAGTATTCAACTCAATAAAGGCTATCCTCAGTATACTATTAAAAAGTACATTTAGGGGTGCCTGGGTGGCTCAGTCTCTTGAGTGTCCAACATCGGCTCAGGTCATGATCTCGCGGTTCATGAGTTTGAGTCCCGTGTCGGGCTCTGTGCTGATGGCTCGAAGCCTGGAGCCTTCTTCAGATTGTGTGTCCCTCCTCCACTCATGCTTGCTCTCTGTCTCTGTCTCTGTCTCTGTCTCTCTCTCTTTCAAAATAACCATTAAAAAGGGTAAACAACTTGCTACTTTTTGATCTTTTGGGGGGAAATCCAGATATGTTCATTTCCCTTTTACAAAATAGGGCATGCACTATCATTATGAAATAAACTTTTCAACACTAGAGTTATCTCTGCCTATCTAATCGCTAGTCTATAAGTTACATGCAAAAAAGGAGGCAAAAAAATTAAGGCTATTAACTATAAGGTTAAAGAAATCTGTTAACAGGGCTTTAGAAATCTAATGGTGAGAAGAACCAGGCCAAAACAAAACAGTATGGACAACTGAAAAAAATGAATAGTAAATATGGATATACAAGAAAAAACAGAAGAGGTCAATTAAATTTGCGGGGGAAAAAAAATGAAGAACTCTTGCCTTGAAATATGATAAACTTCACTAAAAGACTTTAGCATACACTAGAAATTTAATATCATTTAAAACAGAGACAGGTCTAAATATTTCATCAAAAAAAGTTGACTTGATGGTATATATAAAGGAATTGGTTATAAAAACGTCACCATGTGACATGAATCCAGAAAAAATTATTATAATGAAGATACAGTATACTCATTTTTCTTTCAGTCCAAAAGATAGATTTTTGTGCTTAGATTAGTTTTAGAATAATAATCACAAAGGACTGCCACAAGTTTTAATAAGTATCTGTATCTCTGCCAGTAAAAGGAATTAAGTTGGGTATAAGGAAGTGAGGGAAAGTAGGAGAGGAGATTCAGATTGTACCTTTTGCATCATCAGAACCTGAAGCCAAGAGTTTAGGATCCATCAAATTAAAGTCAACACTCCAACACCTTTTCTCATGTTCCTGGATACAGAAGGAAGACAAAGTAGTCTCAGACAGAACATAGATGGTAAAATAAAGCAAAAAGCTTGATACCAATTTATTGCTCTGGTGGGAGGGAGATAAAACAGGCTATGAAAACAAATGAGATGCAAAGTAGTTCCCAAACTTTTTACATATACATATTTTATTGCTTTTGGAAATTCATTTGACACATTCTATAAATGTAAAACAAGTCTGAAGAGATGCTTCAGAAAAGCATTATTTGGTTATCATATATTTTTAAAAGGCTAAATTAGTGGCTAAAATTTGTAACTATAAAGCACATAAACCCCTACAATTATTAAGAAAGTAAAAATGTGGTTCTTAAAACAAGCAAACTAGTATCCTTATTTACCTGATAGACCTTTGACCTCTGTCCTGTGAATCCGTCCCATAGGATGACAGTGCCTTCATAATCACTGCTGGCTAACAGATTCTTATGGTAACTACTCCAACTGATACAGCTGAAAGAAAGAAAGATAGTTAAGCCTTACTTCATGTAAAAGTAAGTAACAACGAATACAAAGAATGTCGATGTGTTCAGAAAAGATTAGAACCCTTTTTAAATGGTCTACATGACTTCATAATCCGTAATCTGCCAACAACATATTTGGGAAAAAATATATCAAATAACTCCCACGTTATTCTACTGAACTACCAAGTAACAACCCTTACCACTATTCACACTGTTCACTAGCCAAAAGATGGACATAAGCCTACAGCTGCCACTGGCCATCTTTCATACATGAGTAAAGCATATCTATGAGTGAAAACAGAAAGCCAACAGGGCACAAAGCATGCCATAGCCGAAAGACAGAGACTTAATCAAATCGTACAGTCCCCTGTATCAAGTTGTGCTGAATGAGATACACTAATAAACTAATTTGAATTGGGTTTCTGTACTCACATCCAAAAACAAACAAACAAACAAAAAATCTTCATATAAGCTTATGACTGAAATTCCAATTGAAAGAATTTAAGTTAGAATTAAGCTTTTAACATTTACGGTTTCAGCTATTCTCAAGTGCTCCAAAACTGAGAACGCATCTAAAAATGTATGCTTTTGGTGAGACACATATGTGAATGAAGCATATGATAAAGCTAATGTATATTAAGGAAAAAGCCACTTAGAAAGCAATTAACCTAGATGATCTCAAAGCACATGAAAATAACAAAGTCTTTTGCTCTCTACTGGCTACGTTCATGCTAAATTTTAGAAACTGTTAACAGTTCATTTGCATGTTTACATATACTTACTAGATTTCTGGGAGAAATTACATGGCAAGTTAAAAGGGTTAAATTTTAGAGTTCGATAAACCTGAGCTCAAATTCTAGCTGTGCCGCTTCACAGTTGTGGTTTGGGGTAGTTTAGTTCACCTTCCAAACCTGTGTGCTCCAAACTGACTTCGGGTGTGCTGACACACTGACCCTTTCAGTCTTTAGTTCATAGCTTCCAGATTTGAACGGCTTCTTCCATTTACTCCAACATCCCATAAAGTATTGCCGTATTTTCACATACGTAATTGACTCAGGTAAAATAGGTATAAGGATAATTCGAAAATGTTCAAAGTTCTAAATAAATATATTATTAGATGCATTCCTTGTATTATTTGATTTTAAGACAGTACCTGAGAATCACTTAGGAAGCTTGTTTAAAAAAGGTAAACCCTCTAATCCACCTTTTCATTACAGTGACATTTCTTAGGAATCTTGATAATGGCCAAGTAGTATGCTAAGTGCACTGTGTGGGATTTATTTAAAATATAATCCTATGAAACAGGTATTACTATTGTGGCCTCCGTTTCATAAATAAGTGGCACGACATGGTGAAGAAACTACCTGCTTGAATCCTTGCTCCTCCAGAGACTAGCTGTGTGATCTTATGCAAGTTAATTAACCTTTCTGTACTTCAGCTTCCTTGTACATAAGATGGGGCAATATCTCATAGTTAAGTCTACTGAAGATAAATCATTTAAGACAATGCTTGCCACATAAGAACTCAATAAAGTTATGTCTTATTCATGCTATTTTCTTTCCACTTAGGATAAAATAACTATAATAGATTCTCGATGACGAGCGCCACTGATGAATGAGTAGGCTCACAAACTATCAGTCTATCATTTTTAGGAATGAATTAGGAAATGAAAAGGAAAGCTATAACAAATACATTACATAAATACTGTAATACTTGCTATATTATTAACACTATTAAAATGAGCATATATACTATATACACACACATACTACATATGTGTGTAAAGTAGGTGAATTCAGGTAAAATAGGTATAATTAGAAAATGTTCAAAGTTCTAAATAAATTTATTATTAGACACTTTCCGTGTATCATTCCATTTTAAGCCAGTGCCTATGAGAATTGTTTAGGAAGCTTGTTTAAAAAATGCAGATTCTAAGATTCCTTTGAGATTCTGGGGGGGCAGATCCGAAGTAATTCCCAGTTCCTGCATTTTTAACAGTACTCCAGGTTTGAAAAGCACTCATTATGAACTCTAACCCTTATTGTATGAAACTTAAATATAAGGCCCTCAATGAAAAGCAGCAGAATATTCTTATGAAAAAGAAAAAAACTCTTAAAACTATAAACAGTTAAAATACTTAGAGAGATGTGCATTGCTAGGGGAAAAGAAATCCTGACTTTCAGGCACTTCATAGGCTATCGTAATCCTTTATTCAACACCCCATGGAAAGCCATTTACGACAAAGATTTTTATTTGATTAAGTGAAACAAAAAGGACTTTCATTGGTCAAACAGGAAAACAATGACTACTAACCCCTACAGGGTAAAAGCAACAGATAACTTTAAAACAGATTCTGAAGTCTCCTCTGTATACAATTCCAGTGTTTTTTTATAACTGAATAAGGAGTCTCACAGAAAGGTAAAACAACAAACTCATACTAATTATAGTCACTGATTGTTATACACACGCTACATGATGTCCAAAAAAATAATCTAAGTACCTGATTTTGGAATTGCAGGTCATTTCATTTTCAGGGTAGTGAATATCCACGGCATCTTGAATGACTGTGCCATATTCATAGACCTTAATCTTCTTTGTAACTCCAGCAATTGCAAAATAGTCACAATCCCGGTCAAATTCAATACTATGGAAGAAAGTGTATATTTGGTCAGGAAGACTATTTGCCTATCCCTGTGACATTTACAATGACAACAGTTCAGAGTTTTTTCTGTTTCTAAAGTCATTCTGTCTACAAGAATAAGAGATCTACTTGAAATGCCCTCAAATTGGAGTAGGCTCTATGTCCAGATAGAGTCATTACCAAGACATATAACAAATTACAAGTGGTAGAGAACTGTGCATAGCTACACAATTCTGCTTATAGATAGTTCTTTTGTTCCTAGAAACTTGACATGTGTCTCAATTCAGCTTTAGTAACCATATTACAACTTACCCAACTGTAAAGCCTAACAAGTTATACTATAAAAGTAGTGACAAAAAATTTAATGGTTTGGTATATTAAAAAATATGTCAAAAGAGAATTACCAATTAATCTTTTCATAAATTCTAACTATTTCCCTTCTACCACTTTGTGGGGATCACAGAATTTCAGTGTTTAACGTTACTTTAATAAATAAATTAGTACACAAACTCAGTTACAGAAGCAATTAAAGACTGATGACAAAGGTTTAAAAAATGGAATCATTAAATTATCATTATGTTCCTTGAATCCATTACTAATCTCTCAAAGATGATCTGATTTTGGGGGCGCCTGGGTGGCGCAGTCGGTTAAGCGTCCGACTTCAGCCAGGTCACGATCTCGCGGTCCGGGAGTTCGAGCCCCGCGTCAGGCTCTGGGCTGATGGCTCAGAGCCTGGAGCCTGTTTCCGATTCTGTGTCTCCCTCTCTCTCTGCCCCTCCCCCGTTCATGCTCTGTCTCTCTCTGTCCCAAAAATAAATAAACGTTGAAAAAAAAATTAAAAAAAAAAAAAAAAAAAAGATGATCTGATTTATTAGACCCCCCCCAATATAGATTTCTTATGCCAAAACCAAGGGAAAAAACTAAAAATCTCCCTTCTCTTAGAATTTCTTAGGGAATTCACTCCTCTCTTACTGACTTTCTATACAAGTTCCAAAATAATATACTTCAAAGAAAAGCAGAAGACCTTATTCACCTTTATAAAACTTAATTTGGAACCTCAACAAAGGTGTTATATGACCAGTAAGAAATTTAAATAACTTAATGTGAAATGAATCATCACATCCATTATTTCTCAACAAGTTAAGCATCTTTTCTATAAGCTTAGCCGTAAGGCCAAAGAATACAGATGAATTTTCACTGATCTACAATTAATTACACAATAATAATAGCTAACATTCACTGACCGCTAAGCATAACCACTGCACATATTAACTCATGTAATCCCCATAATAACCCTATGAGATAGGTATTATCTTTGTCCACATTTTACACATGAGAAAACGAAGGGTTAGAGGGGAAGCAATTTGCCCTAAGTTAATCAGCTAGTAAGTGGATAAGACAATATGTTAATACTCTGCATATATCAAGTAGTCGTTAAATGCATATAAATACCAACATGGCATACTTTTCTTTCTGGATTACCTGTGATATCCTCTTACAGAACAGTTAATGATTAGTTAATAATTTAGTAAAATGCTTGCTAAGCTAATGATGACGAATAAAAGAAATAGGTACACAGAATATTTCACACAAAAACACTTTGAGATGTTCACTTTTCAATACAGCTTTAAATCCTTTATTTTATAGCATTTAAAATAATTTCATTCCATGTCACTGACTATAGCACAAATCAGCAAATACTCCCTCCAATAAAATATGACTATGTGGCAACGCAATGCATTTATTTGTACAACAACTGAAACCAAACTGCTGACTCAGTGTTCCCCTGCACTATGGATTCTAATGCAGCATAACTATGTCGATGCAACTATTCATCTATCCTGACTCAATTTATACCCACAGGCTAATGTCACTGAAGGCGAAATATTATTGTGTCCGACAAAGAACAGTTATCAGAACTGAAATCCCATCCTTAACTTAAAAGGCTGGGTATGGCTGAGACCCCAAAGAAGAACTAGTTAAATTATCTCTAAATACTTTTACTACACCTACAAACAGACATGGCAATAAATCAACAGCATTCCAGTGTTACACCAGAAAAAAATAATAGGCCACTTCCAAACTATATGTTTTTAAGAAAAAATAAATTTAAACACTAGATTATTAAAATAACAGTCCAGGGGCGCCTGGGTGGCGCAGTCGGTTAAGCGTCCGACTTCAGCCAGGTCACGATCTCGCGGTCCGGGAGTTCGAGCCCCGCGTCAGGCTCTGGGCTGATGGCTCGGAGCCTGGAGCCTGTTTCCGAATCTGTGTCTCCCTCTCTCTCTGCCCCTCCCCCGTTCATGCTCTGTCTCTCTCTGCCCCAAAAATAAATAAACGTTGAAAAAATAAATAAATAAAAATAAAATAAAATAAAATAACAGTCCAAAGACACTGCAGTGAGAAAACTTCCATATGAATAAAAATGCTATCTGTCAAAAGAATTGATTTGATGATGTAAATAAGTTAATAAGTCTATTATTTCTTCTGTTGCTACACTGTTATTCAAGACACCTCTCTTTTTTCAACAAAGGTTATTATTTAGCTGCATTAGCTAATTCTTACCTCTCATACTAAAAAATCAACTTTATATTCTGAGTTTATTGTTATTTTCTTACGTCCTGGTTATGTTTTGTTTTTAAATATTGGGATATCAAGGATCTGTACAGTATTCTTTTTTAATATTCTGGGATACTGAGTTTCTTTATAATTTAAAAACAACAAAATTCTAATAGAAATGCTGATCAGAAAGAAAATATTATCTCTAGTGAATTTTTTTAAGTTGTTTTTTTTTTTTTTTGAGAGAGAGAGCGCGCGAGAGCGAGTGGGGGAGGACAAAGGGAGGGAGAGAGAGAATCCCAAGCAGGCTCTCTGCTGCCAGCGCAAAGTCCAACATGGGGGTTGAGTCCACTAACTGTGAGATCGAAACCAAGAGTCAGAGGCTTCACCAGACTGAGCCACCCAGGTGCCCCTCTAGTAAATTTTGATAAAAAGGGAAAGGAAGACAAACAGTTGCCTTTGGGGAAAAAAAAAAAAAAGTATTTCCACATTACTAAGACTCGGGATTTAGGCACTTCGAAACGCTGAATTGTGTGTTCTCAATCTTTAACAGATTTAATCATATCTGATCCCAAACAAACATAATTAGATTCTAAAAACATCTCATGTAACAACTCAAATGAACAATGTAGTTTTCAGGTACAGAGAGCTTTTCAGAGCTACTCCAAAATGGATGGCCTCTTATCTCACAATACAGTATTTCAGCTGCCTTAATTATGAAATCTGATAACCTAAACAAAAATAGTAAACAGTGACTAGTTAAACTGAAACAAAAACAAAATAAAAAGTAATTCATTGAAACATACCTGCTTGTGCAATTAAATTCAAAAAATTTTGTACTAAGTTTCGATTATACAAAATTCATTTCTGCTATTCACTATCACCAGTAATTCTTTTTAAGTTTATTTATTTTGAGAGAGAGAGAGAGAGAGAGAGAGAGAGAGAGAGAGAGAGAGAAAGAGCAAGTGAGCAGGGGATGGGAGGGAGAACCCCAAGCAGACTCCACGCGTTGAGCAGAGCCCAATGTGGGGCTCAAACTTAGAAACCGTGACATCCTGACCGAGCCAAAATCAAGAGACAGACACTTAACCGACCTAGCTACCCTGGCGCCCCTATCACCAGTAATTCTTAAAGTAAGTGGTTTATGAAAGTTTACTGCAATGATAAATTGAGTTTCACAGAACTTTTTAAAATTTCAAAATACACATGGGGCGCCTGGGTGGCTCTGTTGGTTAAGCAACTGACTTCGACTCAGGTCATGATCTCATGGTTGGTGGGTTCGAGCCCCGCATCAGGCTCTGTGCTGACAGCTCGGAGCCTGGAGCCTGCTTCGGATTCTGTGTCTCCCTCTCTCTGCCCCTCCCCCACTTGTGCTCTGTCTCTCTCTCTCTCAAAAATAATAAAATGTAAAAAAAAAAAATTTTTTTTTAATAAAATTTCAAAACACACAAACATTTGCTTTGAAAAATATTAATGGGGACTTATTTTAAACATGGAAATAAACTGCCTTTTTCTTTCATACTTGGACTGTTTCAACTGTTTTTAAAAGTGATTTATTTAAACAGTTTAAAATGCTAATTCAGCTGTAGGAAACTGCCTATAGTCTTTGTCAAAAGGGCCATCAGTCAAGTGATTGAGCCTCCAGGCAAGAGACCATCCAGGCACAGGACAGCTGATTAACGCATACCTCCAGTACAGTGTGGCACAAAACAATGCAAAGATGGCAATATCCCACGAAGGGAATTTTTTCAGTGCTCCCACTGTGTCATACTGTTTTTGCAATTAAAAAACAAGTATTAACAAAGTGGATTAATATCCCTAACACTAGAATCCTATTTATCAAAAGAAAATGTAAAACGAACACAGTTGTTAGAGGTCTAATTCATCACCGTGATAGTGTGCCTCAAGAGATAGAGGCTGCTATTATTTCAAGGAAACAAAGAAATTGGCCATTCTAACGAAAAGAAATAGGCAGATCTTTAAAGAATACAAACACAGGTAAAGTAATTAAGAATTGATGTTATTCCACTGACTTTCTCCCAAATCAATCAATAATAATAGCTAAACCTTCCATACCATACATAATACTATGTATAAAGCACTGCGTTAAGCACCTCATATAAAAATAAATTTACTTTTCAAATCTCCACTGTATATATACATAAGGAAACTAAGTTATACCGATGTTAAGTAATTTGCCCAGACTTCACCAGATAATTCAAATTCAAGCAATCTGGTTCCAGAGTCTATGCTCTCAATCACTATGCAAAACTTCCATTTTAATGAGAACACAAGAACTGGTTTTCAAAGAATATATACAAAGACAAAATAAACATTAATAACATAATTACACATACTATATTATATACATGATAGTAATAAATGATATATTCATCCTGTGTAACAGGTTAAACAGAGGGAGATAAAAAGAGTAAGGTAGTCTC